TTCACTTTTTATTTATTTTTTATTTTTACTTTGTATTTATTGTTTTTTATCTTGTTATAAAGGTCCAGTGTGTAACATTGGAATGGAATATAATATTCATAGGTATGTTTTCATTAGTGTATAATCACTTTATATAAGAATCATTGTGTTTTAGTTTCCGTAGAGTTAGTTTTTATTTACAGAGGGAATGGGTCCACCATGCTGAACCGCCATGTTTCTACAGTACCCCAGAAAGGACAAACACTGGTTTAGATAGGGAGTTTCACGGCCACCATAGTTTCTCTTCAGTTCTATTCAGTTGGTTGCAATCTGCAATTTTACCACTAGATGTCACTAAATCCTACACACCGGACCATTAATATCTTTGATGTCTTTTACACAAGTCCTTGTTTTTATGTTGTTAGTTTTACTATTTTACCACATTGGTTTTATTGGGTATTATTATTATTAATTTCTGCCTCTGGGTAATTAACACTGCTCCCCAACGCTTGAATCCTAGGCTTTCTCCTAGGTGGCGTTGTCAAAAAGTAAAACAAACCTCAACCAGGCCACAAACAACTGATTGAATACTGGCCTCAGAATCTCCAGTCTACAGTGTGGACTCTTCAGTCCAGCAGAGAGCAGCTTCACTCCTGAATCCTGCAGGTCGTTGTTACTCAGGTCCAGCTCTCTCAGACTAGAGGACTGGGAGCTGAGAACTGTGGCCAGAGCTTCACAGCTTCTCCATGACACTTTACAGCCAGTCAGCCTGAAAGACAATTTCAGTCAGCCATTAATCATATTACAAATCACATTTAATATTTATTTCATTCAAAAAGGAGGATGCTCCTACAGCACAATTCCCTTATGGAAGCCTGAAAAACTCTAAACTAGTGGTTTTAGCAGTCAGCTACTCGATTGCTCAACTTGTCAAGTACTTGGTGAAATCCCTAATTTCAGAGTTATCTTTCTTCAGCGGCTTCAGCTTGTACAGCACACAAAATAAATGCAGCATTATACAGCTTCCACATTTAAAGTAGGGCCTTAAAAGTGATGCAGAAACATCAGTGTTATCCCTTTATAATTCTGACCTGAGAGCCTCCAGTCTACAGTGTGGACTCTCCAGTCCAGCACACAGCAGCTTCACTCCTGAATCCTGCAGGTTGTTGAAACTCAGGTCCAGCTCTCTCAGATGGGAGGGGTTGGACTTCAGAGCTGA